GTTCTGGTCTCACTTGAACAATGACCGCTGAGAGTGTGTAGGGCGCTTCCCTTCTGCTGTGGATTGGGCGATCTGCCCCCTCTGCCCACCTCCCGAGTACGGGTCAACTTGGCTGGCCCAGAAGCCTGCGTGGTTTGGCAGTTACATAATGCTGGAATCTGGCAGTTCGGTGATGGGGTGATCAGCAGCCATGATGTGATCCGCCAGGGGTTACATGGAATGTCATGACCTCACTCACAGTCCCAGGCTGGGCTAGCAACCCGCTTTTCCTCACGAGAGAGCAAGCAGAGAGGGGGCCTCAGTATGACCAAGGAAGGACTGCCAGGGGCAGTGTGTGGTCTGGACCCAGAACCTCAACCAGGGGAGGTCCACTGCCCAGACACGTGGGGCTCTCCAAGGAACACAGACTTGTAGCCTCCTGACCTGGGACAGAGCAAATTCCCATTCATTAAAGTCCTGGGCAGGGCTGTTTCTGGGACTGCAGCTCCGGATGACAACGACACATTCCAAATGCCTGGGCAGCCCTGACGGTGGGCGGCACGCCATCATGAGCTGGTACCTCAGAGCCAAAATGAATGCCAAAGGGAGTCCTGGTCCATCCTTGCAGACATCTCTAACCTCTACAATGAACAGCCTCAGCACACTGGAATGTCTCTCTGACCCAACACCTACTTGGATCCCCAAACTCAGCACCGACACCAGGAAGCTTCCTCTGACCTCCAAGCTGGGTGGGCACCTTACTCTGAGCCCCCACAGCCTTGACCAACTTCCATCAGAGCACTTAGGTTGGGCATCGTCGTGACCTGCTCTGTGTCAGCGTTTAGGTCTGTCACTGTCTGCGCCCCCCACCCCGGGGGATTAACCAAGACAGACGCTGGGCGCAGACACGCAGGTCCTCTGGCTGCAGCGCAGGGGTCCTCGCTGGCCCGGGGAGGGAGGGAGGGAGGCTTCCTGGCAGAAGCAGTGATCGAGCGGAAATGGTCAAGTCTTCCAAGAGAGCAGTGAAGAGCCCAGGAGGACCAGGAAGCAGAGAAAGGAAAAGAAACGGAAGCAGGCACGCCCGCTGGCACCCCAATCGCTGAGAGAGCTGCAGGCACCCCACCTGGGGACCCCCATCAGGCGCAGTGAGCAGGCCAGTTCGAGGCCAGCTACCAGATGTGACCTTGAGGCCTGACCAGAGAAGTGACATGGCTCTGTCAGGCCAGGAGGTTAGGAGGAAGCTGGCTGCCCGAACCAGACTCGGTGCAAGTTTTCTGACAGATGTTGTGGCCAGGATGCAGTCCCCTGACCCACTCCACCCCTGCCCAGGCCAGAGGTGCTCACACACCTGCCCGGGCACCACGCTTCAGGGGCCTCCTCCGGAGCTGGGGCCCTCTGCGCCTCATCAAGGACCTCAGTGGGACCCTCTGCTCTGTTGCAGTTCGCCCCACTCCTCGCTCTTCCCTCTCTGCCTCCCCTGGCCCCAGGCCCATTTGTGGGGGCTCCTGGGCAGGGAGATGATGGACCTCGGGACACCAGGCACTCCCTTTCTGCCCCTCGCTGGCCCCGTGGCACAGTGCTCCCACGCGTGGTTGTGGCTCTGCAGGCTCCTTGTCCTAATCGATCCCCTTCCTTCATACCTGGAAGCTCCCCAGGCAGGACAGGACACTGGAGGGAGAAGCTCGGATCGGCGCAGCATAGGCCAAGTGACCGCCCTGGAGGAGGGCTACGGCAGTGCCCAGGCCCTCTCATAGGCTGTGGCCCCAGGGCCCTCCACCTCCTGCCCCCCGACTCCAATGCCCCTGCAGGAGCCTTACCTTCTCATGCTTGCGCAGCAGCTCATGCCGCTGCAGGAAATACTGGTCCTTGAGCTGCTGCTTCACCAGCTGGTGTCTCTCCTGCAGGTGGTGCTCCTCCATGTCCCACAGGGCGGCTTCCCGGTCTGTGGACGGACGGACGGATGACATCCCTGTGAGGCCCCCCCCCCTTCAGCAGCCAGAGGGTCACTGCTGGGCTCTGAGGAGTCACCACACACCCACCATCTCATGAGGCCCTTTGCAGATCTGACTGGGGCAGCTCCTAGGGATGCCTGGTGGCCAGCGGTGTGTGCAGCAGGCAGCGTCCAGAGACACGCAGGACTGAGGCTGGAGCCTAGAGCCTTTGCTGCGCGTGAGGCCGGGGACATAACCTCCTTAGGCCTCAGCTTCCAGTTCTGCCAAATGGGCACAACCACTCACTGGAGGGAGGGACATCCTTGGGAGACATTAAGTATCATCTATACTGCACTGAGTAATGCAGTCTCACCTATACATTATATTGAGTAATAATCTATACACAACATTGGGTAACGCAGTGCCATCTATACCACACCTCTATACTTCACTGAACAATGCAGTCTCATCTATACATTGGGTAACACAGTGGCATCTATACCACACTGGGTATCATCTCTACTGCATTGCATAAGTCTGCTACACAGACCTCTTCAGAGTATTGAAAACCAAGGCTGTTTCTTTGAAGACTAAGGTGAGCCTGACCCAAGCCATGGTATTGTCAATTGTTTCATATGCAGGTGAAAGTTGGAATTGAACAAGGAAGACGGAAGAAGAATCGATGTGTTTGAATTATGGAGCTGGTGAAGAGTAAACACTCTTATGCTCAAAAGGACAAACACATCTGTCTTGGAAGAAGTGCAACCAGAGTGCTCCTTAGAGGAACGAATGATGAGACATTGGCTCCTGGACTCTGGACATGTTGTCAGAAGAGACCAGTCCTTGGAGAGAGACATCACGCTTGGTCAAGTGGAGGGGCAGGAAAAGAGGAAGGCTTTTGACAGAGGGATTGACACAGAGGCTGCGACAATGGGCTCCGGCACAGGAACACTTGGGAGGCTGGCTGGGACCGGGCAGTGTTTCATTCTGTTATGCAGAGTCGCTCTGGGTCAGAGGCAAGCGGATGGCACCCAACAACAGCGGCAGCCGTGAGGACAGACTGCACACCGCACCTTTACTCCACAACAGGGCAGTGGGAAGAGCTTGGGGAGACACCCTGTGTGTATGCTGCGGAGACCGGATCTGGCACTTTACCACAAGGAGCCCTGTTAACTGACACTGTGCACAGAACAGGGCGGGGAGCTGATGTCAGGCTGAGGCCCGCGTGCCCTCCCGGCCAGACGCACATGCAGGAGTCTTGCTTGGCTTGCTCCAAACGTGCCATCTGTCCCACTGACTGCGGCTCTGTGAGAACTGCCACCCGGGTGGCTCAGCACAGCAGTGACTGCTTTCCCGCCAGATGAGAATACTGGTGCCCACTAAAAAGCAGGGCGGCTCGGACGGGCACAATGGGATAGAAAAACAGAAGCGAGGGCTCTCCTGACATACTGGTGCTCTGCCCAGGCTTGCGGCACATAATCAGGGGCTTGGGCCGCTGGACCACCAGGAGAGGCCTGGGAAAAATCCGAGTGTGGCTTCCAGATGAGATCTGCGTCCCAGGCACCACTCTATCCTTTGCTAACTGTGCTACGTTGGCCAAAGAATAGGAACTCTCCAAGCCTCATTACCTCATCTCAGAAATGGGGATGGTAGCATGGCCTGACTCACAGGGCTAAGGTGAGGAGTCAGTGAGCCTAACATAAAAAAACAAACTCGCTGCCACTGATAGTGGGCCTATGCCAGGGTACTGACCCTGTGGGTTTCTGAAACTGTAACTCTTTACAGGAGAAGAAACCTCATCTTTCTCTTGCAGAGCAACTGGTGGTTTTGAACTGCCGGTTTTAGGTAACCCACTCTGCCACATGGAAACTGGCTGGCCGTCGCTTGGTGGGGCTGCTGTCAGCACACAGAGTCATCAGGGTGGGGCTCTTCACACACCTGGCCTGGCACCCAATCCCATCGGTCATTTCCACGGACTGCACTCTCCCCCCTTTCCCGTGCCCCTAGTTTCCTGCTGTGGACTGGGGACTCTGGGACAATGCTAAAGAGTGCTGGCCACGGGGCCCTGGTGGATTCCTGCCTGCTGCCTGGGAGTCAACGTTTCCTTCCCTGCCGGTGCACCTGGTGCACGGACAGCACCACCGACGGCAGGTGTTTTCAGAGACGCTGAGCAGGAGTCTGCGACATCAGACTAGTAAGAAAGGCCTGGAGATCCACTGCCCCCAATCCAGGACAGAAGCTCTGTAGATCTCAGAGGTCCAGTTTGCAGCCGACTATGGGGATGGCGCAGGAGCGGCTGCACTGAGCCCCACTGTGCGTGGGGACGCCCACCAATGACAGCCGCAGCAGCGAGGGTGGGTGACCCCCAGCGCCCTTGCCTCACTTCGTGGGATGTTTTCTGGCAACGTTGTGCCATCACCGATGCTTAAGTCCTTTAGGATGGAAGAAACCACGCTCGTCTTTCCTGCCCCCTCCCCCTGCCCACCTTGCCGAGGCTAGACTGTCCACTCACAAAGCGGCTGGGTCAAGCCCCGCCCCACCCACCTCGCAGGAGTTCCTGCTTCTTGTGGAGACACTCGCGCTCCTTGTCACAGATCTCGCGCCGGTTCTCCGCGGTGATCCTCCTCATCGCCAGCTCCAGGTCCTCCTTCTGCTTGGCGAGAAAGTCGCGGTCCTGCGGGCAGGGGCGGAGCACGGACATTACCCAGCGGTCACCGGCAAAGGAAACGCCCGGCAGGGAGCGACGGCGGAGGGGACGCCTCCACCCACTGCCACTCGTGGGCCTGGTTCTGATGTTCTGAGGGGCCCCGCCTCCATGCCACCCTGCAGCCAGGCCCGAAACCTCGGCACCCGCAGCACCTCCTCAAGCCCCGCCGTCTGCGGTCCACTGCCTCCGGGACACCTCTGAGAGCCCCAGCCAGGCCCGGCTTCGCTGGAACGCGCAGTGCGCTCCCCACTCGGCTCCCTGCCTCCGCTCTCTCTCTACCTCCCCCACACTCACAGGGGAGACTGGCGCCGAGTCTCCCCATCACATCATTCTATCCTCACTCACAGCCTTGGGCCCCGCCGCCCCAGCACCCACTGCAGTCCAGCAGGGCGGCCCATCTCGGTCGTCAGGCGAGGCCGGTCTTCCCGGCCTCCTCACGGCTTAAGCAGGGCGGTGCCGCCGTGGGTCTTTCCCTTTGCAAAGAACCAAGGCTCGGGGCGGGGTGGGGGCAGGCAGCCACAGCCTCACGCTGCGCTGCAACCCCAGGACCCCAGCCCAGGACGCAGACTCACAAGAAGCTGCTTCTTCTGTGTGTGCTCCTCCATCTTCTGCTTCAGGCTCTCCTTCCGCTGCTGCCGGGGGAGCTTCTCCACCTCAGTCTTCACCTGCTCGGAGACAGCAGGGTGCTCAGAGGCCCGCCCCCGCCCTCAGAGCCAGCCGGCCATGCCGGGGCTCGGCTGGACTGAGGACCAGCCTTCCAGACAGCGTCTGTCCTGCCATGCGTGGGCTCAGGCTCCCCATCGGCTGGGAGCTGGCGGGGCAGCAGCAGAGATGACATGTTGACATGTGCTAGTTAAGATACGGGTCAAACTCCACCCCCAACCCCACCACCACCACCCATCCTCCGTCCTTGACACCACCTGGTCCTCATCTGGGCATCCTTGGGTGCTTGAAAACATTCGTGGGAAAATGGGATGGAAACATCGTGGGTTCTTCCCCACACCTGTTTCCACTGACCTGAGGTCAGTCAGTACCAGGGGCTGGGCCAGAGAGGGCACTTGGCCCTGGCACAGAGATGCAGAGCTACTGAGGGAATGGCTCTCGGGGTTCTCCGGGGTGGCTCTGCCGGGAGAGAGTGGACCAAGAGCTGGGAGGGACTCCCTGGGAACGTTCAGAGGGCGGTGGGGGCCTGGGTCAAAATCTACACAGGGAAGCAATTCCAAGAGATGGGAATGGCTTCCTGGCGACATCAGAGTAACTGCGTTTTTCTTCTCCTTTATGGCCGCTGCACTTGGCTTTCAACACACGAGCTGAATGGCACAGGCACTGTTTTGCAGGTTTTGTGGATGGGGAGCCTGAGGCTCAGAGAGGTGAGGGACTCACTCTGGCTACACAGCTGCACAGCAGCAGAGGCAGGGTTCCCATCCAGGCAATCCAACTCCAAAGCCCTGCCCTGCCTACTCTGGGGGCTGGGGCCGCAGGCAGAAGTCACAGCCAGCAGGCATGTCCTGCATGCCTCCTGCGCCGGGGGAGCTGCTCAGGACTGCAGGGAAGGGAGGACCACCTCCTAACTCCAAGCCTCTGGTCACAGGCACCTGCAGGCTGCTAGGAGCAGCCTGGGGTGGGGAAAGAAGGAAGGAAGGAGATAAGCAAGAGTGTGTCCGTGGTAGAGCACAGGGTAGGTTTGCAGTCTTCCTCAGGCTCTCAGAGAGAAGCCGATGATGATGTGGGCTATGGGCTGGGCTACTAACCACAAGGTTCGCAGTTCAAAACCACCAGCGGCTCCATAGGAGAAAGGCTTTCTAAAGCACTGCAGTCTCAGAAACCCACAGGGACAGTTCTATCCTGTCTGGTAGGGCTGCTCTGAATCAGCATCAACTCGATGGCAGTGAATTTGGTTTAGTTACTGGTTTTAGCCTTTCAGATACCTGAAGAGGCATTTCACTTTGAGGTTCTGACCCCAAGCAGTATGGGAGGTAGTGTTATATCCTCCCATGGGGACAAGTTGGGGGAAGGGGCAATGCACATGCCCTAATTCAGGGCTCTGCTAACTTCTCTGTAGGACAAGCATTTGTTGACCTCAAGCAGTGGCTCACAACTAGGCGGTTTTGTCCCCAGGAGACACGAGGCAGCGTCTGGAGACAGTTCTGGTTGTTAGAACTAGGGAAGTACTACTGGCAGCCACTGGTCAGAGGCCATCCTGCACTGCACAGGGCAGTCCCCACGAGAAAAATGCTAGGGCCCCAGTACCACTCGTGTCAACGCCAAGAATGCTGGGCTGAGATGGTGACTGGAAGCCACGTGCATTGTAACGAATGAACATGGAGCCCCAAGAGCCACTGGGAGCTGCCTGGTGGGTAGAGCTTTCTTTCTGCCTTGCCCCCTCCTCAGAGTCATTCTTCCTGTGAGGCCAAGGGCATCTCCTTTCTCTGTTGTTTTTCCAGGTTGATTTTCAATGACCAACGGCTTCCACAAAGGCCAAATCATCTTAAAAAACCAATGATTAAATTGGACAATAAAAGTGTTAACAAAGCTTCCACGAGTGACCTTTTGTATCCTTTCAGTCCAGCCCTCTCAACAAGAAGTTGTTACAAGAGTCATCTGGAGGGGACAGAACTTCAGTAATCCAGATCACGGACAACAGCAGCATGTCTCTTAGTATCTGCCCGCCTGCTCTAACTGCTTTGCAGATTGTGGTAGTTACATAATCTTTTGTCAACTTGTGAAGGGGTGGAGTTTAGCCTGTCCATCAGGTCACAACTTAATGACCTCATTTGGAGGCACATGGTTATAAATAGCTCCCTGGAGGCAGGACAGCACACACTCTCTCTGCTTTGTCTTCCTGCGAGACATTCCTGCTGACAAGATACATGGAGCTATCTATGCTGATGGCAGCCAGAACCTTGGAGCTAGAGGAGCCACGTGGAGACCCACGCCAGTGCTAAGATGCTTCCACTGCCACTGGATCCACAAGACTTGCCACCCACCGGCCTGTGATCTTCCTGCACTCGGCATCATTGCACGTATTGCGTGAGTCTGAAGAGGAATTTACAGACTGGTATCGGACATATGGACTAATATCGGACTTAATGGATTTGACCTGGACTGGTCTGGGATGTTTTCTTCATACAATTACTCTATGATATAAAGCTCTTTCTTATACACATATGGGTCTCCCTGGATTTGTATCTCTAGTCAACCTGGACTAACACACAGATATTAACTCAATTTAATTTTTAACACAACCCTTTGAGGTAGGAACTACCAAGAGCTTGAGGCAAAGGCAGGCTAGGAAGTAGAAGGGAGTATAGGAAGCAGGTCCAAGGTGCAAGACCCCTGGGAAGGTTGGGGTTCTTCAGCTATGTAAGGAACTCGGGTGGAGGGAGAGGGAGGGAGAGGGTGGGGGTGCTGATGAAGCCTGGGGATGCTTCCCTGTGAATCCGAGCCCTTACTATTAAATCAAAGCCCTTGTTTCCAGACCTCAGTTTTGAGGTCTGAAGATGGGCTAAAAGCTGCTCTAGGTAACCCAGCTGAGTAGCAGGGCTTGGAGTGGAATCCAGTCCCCCGCTTTCCCCAAGGCTCAGACACAAGGGGATTGTACGTAGCCCTGAATACACTGATTTAAAACCACACAGTGCCCCCTCGTTTTCAAACCACTGCCTCCTGGTTCTGCATGAGCACAATTAAATGTTCTGAAATGCCCCTTCTTCACAATGTCATCCATAGTTTGTATGATCCACGCAAACGCCTCTGTGTTGACTATAAACACAAGGCAGCATCTTTCTGGTGTCCTCTGCTTTTGGCCAAGGGCTATCTGACGTCAGCAATGACATCCCTTGCTCCAAGTCTTCTTCTGAATCTGGCCTGAACTTCTAGCGGTTCCCTGTCAATGTACAGCAGCAAATGGTTTTGAATGATCTTCAGTCAAATTTTACCTGTCTGTGCTATAGTGATAATTTTTTTTATCATTTTCACATTCTGCTGGGTCACCTTTCTTTGGAATGGGCACAAATAGAGATCTCTTCCAGGTCTCCTAAATGTCTAAGCCAAAACAAGTAGTACTTTCAGGGCTGCATCCGGTTTCTGAAACATTTCCATTGAGATTCCATCAATTCCTGGAGTCCTGTGTTGGCTAGTGCCTGCAGTGTAGGTCCGCCACGTTCCAGTACCATAATTTCTTGGTCATATGCTACCTCTTGAAACGGCTGGATGTGCTCAGTTGTCTTTGGCACCGTAAGTCTAAGTCGGTGTCTGCCGAGTCTGCCAGTGTCACATGGGGAGGGGTGGGCTGCTCATTGGGGTCTGGGTGTCTTGCCCTGGGGTAGGCGCACCCTTGGCCTCCCTCTACAGGTCTCAGCACCGCCTGCCTTTTCCAGCAGGGAGAGGGAAGAGGAACAAAATGCCCCTGGGCCCCAAGCAAGGAAGCTGTTCTGGGAGAAGGGAAGGCACCGAGATTGCCCACCCAGACCCCATGGCCCTTCTGATAACAGCACCTCAACTCCTTTGGGGCCACTGTCCCTGGCTTCCTCTCTCCCCTCTTTCAGTGGATGTTGCTAAGCCAGAATAAGATGAACAAAGTGGCCAGGGTCCACCAGGCCAGGCCACGCAGAAGTGAAGCCAGCACAGGACAGCAGAGAAGTGGCTCCTGGTGACACAGTAGAATACCCAGACCCAGCTCCGCCTGGACTTCCCAGTGACACAAGCACCCCTCATCTAAGGCCCCCATTGTTGAGATGAAGTCTTGGCTGGGGTGTGTGTGTGTGTTCTACCACCTCCATGTAAGAGAATGTGAGTGCTCCGCCCAGCACGCACTCACCTCCTTCTTCATCAGCTTGAGCTGTTCCTGGAACCTGGCGTAGTCCCGCTCCTGGTCCAGGCGGATGCGCTTGGCCTCGTCGCGGCGGCGCATGGCGTGGTCTTGCTCCATCTTCTCCACCTGCTGCTTCTGCTGGCGCTCCAGGTTCTCCAGCTCTGTGTCATAGAACTTCTTCTTGGTCTGGAGAGCACCAAAGGGCAAGTGCATGGAGCCACATTATACCTGGGGCAGAGCACCTGGGAGAGCCCAGAGCCGTGATTGGGCGCGGGGGG